TATGATACAAGGCAGCTGGGATCTCAGACCAAGGACATCTTCCTTAGCTGTGGCCCGTCTAGAACATGGCCATACTTTCCTCTTGGCCTTTATGCAATGTGATTTGAGTTGAGTTTATACTTCTGTTCTATTCATAGAAATGAGCAGAATATAAATTGAAACCCACTTACTACTGATGAACAAACTGGAAGTGCGAGAGATGAAAGTCTGAAGAAGAGCTTTTTACAAGTCTCAGAAAATAAAGATCATGATTTAGTGATTACAGAGGACAAGCCCAATGATATACTTATTTTAGCTGATACATCTTCAAATAATGAGGAGATGGGAAGTGAAAAGGTTGCCCCCAAGGGTCTACTATGCTCATTGGAACAGAAGGATCTTCCTGCCTAGAAACCAAATCTCTATACAGTTCATACCAAGAATTTCATCCTTGGAGTGACTTAATGGCTGGATAGAATGATTTATTGCCCTGACTTACTTACTTGTATTCTACAACCCAGAAGTTGTAAAGTAAAGTATTAAACAGACTGATATATTATGAATATTAATAAGCCGTATATATATATTATTTAACATTTATGCTGCTGGGTAAATGGTGTCTGTGTGACCAATGAAGCAGCTGATTTCCCTGCATTGAAGATGCATTCTGTGGTTATGTAACTTCTCACCACAAACACTTCCAATCCATTCCTTTCCCTGTGGATATGTATACTGTATATAGAGTGTGTGCATACACTGTATGTATAACCGTCTCTGTTTAGTATGACGCAGGTAGTTTTAGTGTTATTCGTGATTTTGTTTGCTATCATTGATGGTTTTCCCTGTTCATAGTTTGGGAATAGTCCGTTCAGTGTGGAGAAGTGATATGTAGTAAGTGTAGTGTTTGCTGTCATTCAGCGGGTCCATACACATGACACAAGTGATGTCTCTGGCCCCCGCACTTATAATGTATGATTGCCCCTAGAGACAGGGTGCTGGCATCCAGTATGTGATTCAAACTTGGCAATAGCAGTGAAGGAATGACCGCTATGCAGGACATGAAATCTAGACCAATGATGAGAAGAACAACATGTAGGAGATATGTTACCCCTCAGAGGGGAGATGTAGTATTGGACTTCTTATATAGATACCATCATAGTCTTGATTACCTTGCTGGCTTCATGGCTGTTGTCTGTCACAGCTCTGTCCTTGAGAGACCAGAATATGAAACAAATGCAATTCCACCATTATGGAAAGGAGCGTAACCTAAAGGAAAAGTAGGTAAGTGCCAGTAAGTGTTTGTTAGAAAGTAAATATTTATATTAAATACACATATAGGGTGAGCTCCCAGTGTAATTACTACCATTTCTCTGCTGATGTAAGATATAAGCCGCACAGGGAGTGCAATGTTTCCAGTGAGACAGTTGACTGATAGATTTGCATAGTGAGCAGTAAATCACAATCTTTCTGCTGCATTTATAAACAGAGAGAAATGATACAAAAGTGAAATACTAGACATTTGTGTTGATTGGGTATTATACAGAGTCAGTGAAGTTGCAGTATTGAGGGCTATGGCCCTTATTGATAGGATGTATGATTGGTAAAGAGTCTTGGAGAGATGATTGGGGGTAATTTCATGATGAAAACCTTTCTAAAGGGTAGAATGACTTTATACAGCTGAGGTATTAGCAGCTCTGGACCAGAGGAAAGCAGGGACACCGTGTACTAACAGAGTACAATGCAGTTATTTTAGGATAAGCAGTTCCCTCATTAGATCATTCAAGCTAAATGTACTACCGGCATCGGAGGGATTTGGTTTTACATTAAATACTGATAATATGCGATGGCCAATCATTTCTGTGTCTTTAAACACTGGATAAGCCGTTGACTTTGGCAGCATCTCTATATATCCATGGAGGAATGGGGTGTCATTCTTGTGCCTTCTCCTAGTTACAGCTGAATTTGTGGCTGTTTGTGGTTCTCATCCCTGTCTGACCTCCCCTATGGATGACCCTGCAGTCACTCCACAGAAGTCTATTCACTGTGGACACACAATTGACCCATTCACTGCCCTCTTTTAAGTGCCTTGTGTCCTCGCTTTGGAGACAATTGGCCCCATCCTCTGGCTGTCCATAAAGACTTGTCTCCGCCATTCTGGACACAGTCCTGCCAAGACACAACAACATCCACTATAAAATCAGAACCAATATTACATTTTATTCCACAGGCACTTTCATTATTCACTCTCAGCAGTTTTACAAATTTCACATAAACTGGTGAACAAAATGGCGACATTGTGAGGCAAAGTATAGGAATCGGTTATTAGGTTTTCTTGCCTGGCTCCTTATTGTAATAAATGGGAACAAAAATGAAGTTGTCGCCCAAATTGTCCAATCCTGGTTCATCTTTTATTCTGTATATGATCTCTGACATTCAGTTCCACCTTCCTTCCCGTTTTCTATTCTCCGGTGCTTTATAGTCCTTCTTTGGGGAATTTTGCTCTTTCTTGTCTTTAAATCAGTTTTTCCTGAGTGGAGGGGAGATGAGTATTGTTATATTACAGTATTCTGTTGCTGGGTTTTTGTTTGAAAGTTTTGTAAAAAATCACAAGATATTGATTGCTTGACGTGGCAAGTTGAAGAGGAGCTGAACTCTGGACGCAGGCGTAGAGCAAAGGAGTAATCACCAGCTGATTGTTTATGTCCCTATCACTGACTTACCATGCCTTGCTCTGCACTGTGTCTCTGTATAGAGGTGGCCATCTTGGTAGAGGCAGGGCTGTGCTTCCTACTGCAAAGAGAACAGTGACTGGCAGAGTGGTGGCAGTCCGAGGCAGCAGAGCTTTAGATCTCACACTGCAGATAACCAGCTATGAGGCAGTATACACAGGAGTGCCTAGGTACTAAGGTATTACAGGGCTCTACCTAGGCACACTTAACTTGTAGATGTTCTATAACATAGAAAATCTTCTCTTTTTGAGTTCAGGTCGACTTTAAATGGTTTATTGTAAAGTTAATGATGATGATAGCCCTGAGTCCTTACTAACTAAGCTCAGGCTACATAGATTGCATGACCTACTACATGCTTTAGCCATACTTTATGTGCTGAGAAGTGTACAGTTCCCTAACGCTTAGATTTATCATACAGAAAACATTGAAAGTGGCCACTGTGTAATAGTGTGGAGTTGGTGATGGACCCACACAAGGTTCTAAGTCTGGTCTTACGTATCTGTCTGACTGAGAGCTCTTTAATAATGTTTGTGGGGTTCCAGGGGACATATAGTATACAATAAATCTGAAATCCAGTTGTACTCTACTGATGCTTAGATGGTGAATGACTGCCAGGATCTACTGCTACTTTACCCTTTGAGGAGGGTCGCCACCTTTTCTTCAAGTGAAACCCCAACACTCTAGCACCGCTCGCGGCAACTTTTCTTTCTCGATACTATAGAGGAGAGAGTGAAGAGAGGCAGCCGGGAGAAAGAGCAAAAAGACAGCCAGGGAAGGGAGTAAGGAGACCAGCTATAGAGGACTATAGCAATACATTATACAGCAATACAAAATAATATGAAGCTACATGCTTTGAGTTGTTCTGGGTTAGTGCCTTGATGTCTCAAGGTGGACTGGTGGCTTGTGCGGACTCTCAGGTGTACTGTGCGCACTCTCATGTGGCTATGCGGCTCTCAGGTGGGCTATGTGACTCTCATGTGGCTATGCGGCTCTCAGGTGGGCTATGTGACTCTCAGGTGGGCTTTGCACACTCTCAGGGGGGCTATGTGACTCTCAGGAGGGCTATGTGACTCTCAGGTGGGCTATGCGGCTCTCAGGTGCCTGCAAGGGACCTGGGCAGCCGTATCTGTCAGAAAATGTAAAGTGGCGGTGTCGGCACTGAGTGTCTTGTTTATTCTTATATGGTGTCAAATAAAATATGAAAGGCGTTCCGGTATCTTTTTGTCATTGGTTAGTCTGGTGTAAGCCTTCTCTGCCAGTGGACATCCCAAACTTACTATTGCCTCTTTTCTGCATTTCCCCATGCTTCCTGTGGTGATAGGTCTAGTCAGCCCATGTGGTCCTCTCAGGTCAGAATACAATATTTTATTGGGTTTCACTATTGTATAATATCGCTGATGTAGTTGGTGATAAGGAGTCTCTCTGGCATGAGAGCATGAAAACAAACATGGCACTTTGTATGACATATGATTAGGTGTCAATAATCATAATCTACAGACCGGAGGAACCGTTTTACCAGTGGCATTCTAAGTACAAGCTGTGCATGGTGTCAGGCCCATGGAGCATCTACTCAAATGGTCTTTGAGTCTCGAGTGAAAAAGGTTGTATTCGGAAAGCTGCCTTCATGATAAAGCAGTAATAGGCAATATTTGCATTTTAATATATTTATTTGAACTCCAATTCACCTGGATCAAGCTCTTCAAATCTGGTCATGCAATCTGGACTTCTTTTATCTCCCTTATTGCATTGACATTGGATGTGTTGTAGGCTTTGGCACTAAATAGTTGTTGATAAAGGAGGTTGGACGGTGAGATTGCAAAGTGTGTGGTCAGCAGTAGGATAAATATCTTCTGCCATCTGGGGGACCTCAGGGCCCTGGAATCCAAAGCTGAGCAGCTCATTTACTTTATTCTAAAGATTGATTTGTTTCCTCTTTGTTAAGTGAAGCTGTGACCACACATCCTATAAATTGGTATTCTGGCCTCGAGGTGGTTGTAGCTTTTGCTGGGGAAGGATGAAGAAGGAAATCCTAAAGTTTGGGTTTGGTTGCTACTTGTGACTGGCACAAGTCTCGATGTCTTTGATTCTTTTTGCACTCATTTTTCTTAGATAGAAAATGACACAAGTGGAGAAGTGACATAAAATGAAATGATGGCGACTAATTGGCTGCGTTTTCCATGCTCACTGAGGAGCCGTCCTGGGAGCCATCATTGTATGATGTGACTTCATAGCACAATTGGTGGATTTGGTGTAGTCTTGTGGCTTTCTTTCCATCGTCCGTAGCCCCCGCCTCTCCAGTAGGAGGAGAGGAGCTCTGTTCACCGAGAGGGAGCTCAATCCTTTCTCTTGCAGCTCAGTCCTGCACCTCATCTTCACAACGCCACAACCAATCACAACTGTGGCTATGGGAGACTGCTAATTAGATAATTGGATTTTATTTGTTCAATGAAGTGGACAGAAAGCGACAGAAGAAGGGGTCTGAGGAGAAGACAAGGGAACCGACCCAATTCCTGAAAAATCTGAAGGATGGATTTATTGGGTCCCCAGGGCCTTTTTCTGGAAAATATCAGAGCATCCTGCGGATAAATAGACCGCCATCAGAAGTGGAACATCTCCGGCCACTGGGAAGGTTCCATCCTCAGCACCAGAGACAGAAAAGCATCTTCTATTCATCTTGCTGGACTGGAAATTGATGTGCTGCTCCAACAAGATGGAATCCTAGTGCAGCTGCACAGACAGAAAAACAACAAGAGGACAGTGGCAGAGGGAAGGATGGAGGGGAAGGAAGACTGTGAGAGGTTCCCTGCACTGCTGTGTGACTAGAAACCATAATTACATCACAAAGGAGAAATTATTTCACTGGGAAAACAGAGCTGCTTGGGGGGGGTGGGCTGCTGGAACGACAGATACACACATTGGGGAGGGGGAGAATCGCCTGCAGCTTGCAGGGCAGCAAGAGAACGGACATTTTCTTTCCCTTTCGGCTGAGAAATCTATGGCACACCTTGTCGCCCTGCGTCTATTCACCTCTGTGCAGCAAAGCAGGAGATCTGCAGCTGTGTGCCGCGGGCCCTGCAGGTGCAGCTGATGGCAGATTTGCTGCAATTTGCCTTCTGCTTGTTGTCTGGACTGAAGAGGAATTAAAGACAAGAAGCAAATTATTGGGCAGAAGTGCATTTTGTATAGAAAGCTTTCTTGTGTTCCATGGAGGAGAAAAGGGGGGAGTCGTGATTAAATCCCCTCAGAGATGCAGGAGGGAGGAGGCGAGAGCCGGAGACGTGTGAGTGGTAACCATAGAAATAGTTCCAGTGGAGAGAACAGGCGAGGAGGCAATAGGGACAAGTTGTGTTCTGCAGAGAGGCGGAGGTGGTGACCTCTAGGACACGTATGTAACATGTAGGATGTCCACTGTAACATCTGACACTTCAGAGCAGCCAAAAAAACTGCACCATGAGACCTTCCTTCTCACAAATGGTTAATTATCTCCTTTGTCACCAATATGTGTTAACCTGTTCACTTCTAGGGCACCAAAGGCCTTGTCCAATGTGTCACCAGGCTACTGTTGGCTCTGTTGTATTTATGGGTATTGCAGGCCCCATCTTGTATTAACCTCTTCATTGCCAGGGTACCATAAGCCTCTTATCTATTAACCAATTGGTTGTCAGTTTATCTTGGGCCCTATTATGTGCTAACCCATCCTCTGCCTGTCAGTGGTCTCATCCACCACTGTTGACTCATGCACTGTTCAGATATCATTGGACCAATGGTATTTATGACGGGGATGGTAAAGCTGTTCTCAAGCAGAGGATGAGAAGTCCAGTGACCAGGACAATTTCTCAATTCTTTATATTTCTTCTTTGCTGCATTAACCACGCTGCTAACAAATGGTGTCAGTGACTCTAACCAGTCTCTGCCCATCAAATATGGGAGATCCTCCCCAGCCGCTCCTGCATACTTGGAGGGATAGTTCCACAACAGACAGTCTATCGTAGCTGTGTATTATCATGGCTCCATTCAGAGCCATGGAATATATTTGTGATGAGTCTTTACATACACACAGCAGAGTATTCATCTAACAGGGAACACTTGGGCCCGCCCCTGCAGAGCTCCCAGCCCAGGAATCCTTCCAGCCCAAAGGTTGAGAATTAACCCTTTTCTTGACACAGTAACCTGCAGCTAATCCTCAAGGTAGAAATAACTAAGTAGAAGAGTCCAGACTTTCTACTACAACTGCTCAGCAAGAAAGCACGGTCATCCCATCTAGAATACATCAGGAAACATTCCATCCTCGTTATATATTCCATCTACAACATCTTTTCAGAAATATCCTCCTTGTATAGATATTCTCACTACAGCTCCATAATATCACCCAAACCACCCTATAGCTCCCCATTAGTAACACTCTGCAACTGCTTGTTGGGATTCTAGTAACCTGGGGCAAGGGGAGACACTGGAACTCTGTTTCCTCAAGGCATTTCAGGGACAGGGGCTCACATAATAAAGCTGACTCTTAATGGACTGCCAAAGCTTAATAACAAGAATGTTATACCGACACAACATGTAATCCAATGCTGCCCACTGGCACCAAAACATTGGTTACACCATAACAGTCACTTGTAATCACACTCAATCCTGAGGTTTAGTAGGTGCCACCACAGTGTTATTGCTGCAAGTATAGTGCTATTGGTGAGGCAGACTCAGGAACTGGAGAGTCTTTAGGCCATTCTCATTGAGATTTCACATAAAACCGGATACATGATTTGCTATATATTCTTCAGTTTCATTGGTGGAAGTATCTGTGTCTATTTCTCCACAAGCATGATCCTAGAGTGACAGCAATAGTGAATTTAGCTTTGATGTGTGCCAGATGAGTATTGCCGCTTGTGTTCCTTTATGTGTCAGGTTTTTTTATCTTCCCATAAGTATCTGAGCAGGTAAAACATTTGCATCTGAGATACGGCTACTCTGTAGATGAAGTGGCACCAAATGTGGATCAACAAGTGTGCTGAATACCTTACACATAGGTTTCCCAGTCTGTGTCATTCTTTGATGTATGATTGGTATCGAGCTGTAGAGAGCACTAGATGAATTCTCCCTTGAGATGCAAGATGACATATTTCACATATGATCTGAAACCTCGTCCCATGGAATACCAGGACCTATTACACAGACCTTCATTTGGCTATGTTCAATGGCTGGACATGTTTGGGGTCCTATTTCGAGAACTTCTGAAAATGTTTAGAAAACAAAGTCGATGCAATGTGACAAGTTTCATGTATGCTCGGTCTGTTTTCCTGACAGATTGTAGAGATTTCTACTGTTTCATATCCGTGGACATTTCAGGACAACTTAAGGCCATTCCCTCCTTTGTAGAATGTCTTGATGATTTGTATAAAGTTTCTTTAGCACTCCAGATGTGCAGAGATTTGAGGGCTGCTTCTGGGGTCAGGTGTGAGACCGCAGCCACCATGAGATTCAGTGTTGTTATACCTTCAGGACTTATAGGTTCTGCTACAAGACGTATATCAGTGGTCATCACTCTATAAAGATTCCTATAATGCAGCAGCAGTCTTTATAGACATGTGATCTTGACCAATGACTCTTGACCGAAACTCAGCTAGCAGTGGTCTATGGTTACATGTAGAGATGTCTTAGGTGATGATCTTCAGCCTGTGCCTATGATAAAGTTCTTTGTGTAGGAGACAAGTTCCATGGCATCTGTAAATGTCTCAGCTTGTGTTTCCCGCTGTTTTCCTGGGTCTCCGGAGTTCTATCAATCCCCTGAGCATGTGGATATAGGCTTCAGCTCCAATGGCAGCTTTGGCAGCCCCCCCACCTTACTGACCTCCAGAGGCTGCCATTAGTTTGTTCTGTGGCCTTGTTTGTATAAATGATTTAAGCAGCACTGTCAATGGCGGCGGAGTTCCAAATGTCAGGAAATACATTGTTTGAACCTTCCTGCACTGACTCCACTTCGGATTGCTGTCATTTTGTTAATGATTTCATGTAATGAAAGTAGCCGAAATGTCAGTATTTATTTATTACAGATACTTATATAGCGCTGACAATTTACACAGCATTGTACATAGTTCACATTCACATCAGACCCCGCCCTCGAGGAGCTTACAATCTAAGAGCCCTATACCACATGCGTACTAACAAGGGCCAATTAACCTCCCAGCGTGTCTTAGGAGTGTGGGAGGAAAGCCACTATATGGTGCTGGTTGGGGGCAGGCCACCCTCACTGGGATCCTGCGTATGGGGTATGTAGCTTGAAGTCGTAGTGTGACATGCGCAAAGACCAACAACCAGAGACAATCAGACGGTTACAGTCAGCACCAAAGCCTTTGACTGAAGGTCTGTGTTCTTCCTCTGTCTCTAAGCATCCTATATGTGTGGTATACATGCCTTGTATACATGTAGAGTATATGTGTGGTATACATGCCTTGTATACATGTACAGTATATGTGTGGTATACATGCCTTGTATACATGTAGAGTATATGTGTAGTATACATTCCTTGTATACATGTAGAGTATATGTGTAGTATACATGCCTTGTATACATGTAGAGTACATGTGTGGTATACATGCCTTCTATACATGTAGAGTATATGTGTGGTATACATGCCTTGTATACATGTAGAGTATATGTGTAGTATACATGCCTTGTATACATGTAGAGTATATTTGTGGTATACATTCCTTCTATACATGTAGAGTATATGTGTGGTATACATGCCTTGTATACATAAATACTGGTCAGGGCAGGCGTTCTAACTTACCTGACCGACTGCAGAGGAAGAGGCCTCCCATAAGACTGCCCTGATTTTAGTGTAGTCAAACCAATAAAAAATGGTTAGGGTTAGTGTTAACCTTAGGGTTAGTGTTAGGGTTAGTGTTAGGGTTAGGGTATGTCCTGCCCATGCTTAGGGTTAGGGTTAGGGTTAGTGTTAACCTTAGGGTTAGTGTTAACTTTAGGTTTAGTGTTAGGGTTAGGGTTAGGGGTTAGGGTATGTCCTGCCCATGCTTAGGAACAGAGCCAATCACAGCCCATTAGACTTGTGCGCCATAAAAAAATTTGTTCAGTTTCGTTCCGTTTCATAATATCCGTTATTTCGTATTTCGTATTTCGTAATTCGTATCTGAAACTCAATTCGGATTGGTAGGAAATACGGATTTTCGTTAGTTTCGGCACATTTTCCTAACTTTACGAACATTCGTTATGATGAAGTCAAAAAGCAGAAATACCTTTGTTAATATCGGAGTCGATGTGGTCGTTGTTTTTTTATCCGAAATACGAATTCCGTTAACGGATTCCGGATCCGAATTTCGTATTTCGGACTTTAAAAAAAACCTCATCAACTCCAATATAAATGTACTTTGCTTCTTAACTCCAATATAACGAATGTTCGTATTTCCCGCCTGTGTATTGTAACGCGACTCTCAGCAGCAGCCGATCAGTATCTCGGATTAAAAAATAAATCTTGTCATGTTGTTCCTCATTTACAGGGGAAATATTAGTTCCCGTTTCAGAGAAATTCGGATCCGAAATTCGTTAACGGAATTTCGTATTTCAGATATAATTCGGAAACTGCCATTCGGGTTTCGGATGCTTCCGAATCTACGAATTTCAGGAAAATTTGTACGAATTTCGATTGGTAACGAAACGCACATGTCTCCAGCCCATTGTGTGCGGTCTCCTGTGTATTGGGGTGCCTCTCACTATTACTCCAGGCCAACACACATTCATCAATCTTCCAAATCTTGAAATGTCCCCAAAAATGAATGTTTCCCAGCAGACATGTAACCTCATCCGTGCCTCTGTTACTGAATTTTGGTGACAACATCTCATTCTGCAATATAAATACGCATGTCTACAATATCTCGGCATTGCAAGCTCTTTGTGGCAAAACGTATTCTGAATGTTTCATTTAGTTTGTCATTGTTCCGGTGTGGGCGGTCTTTGTACAGCGCAGCAGACGATGTTGGCGCTATATAAATCAATATTCGTCTTTTCTCTCAATACTTTTTAAAGTAAATTTCAGATAAAGAGAGACTGGAAAACATGTCATCCGCGTGTGTAAATGAACGTATGTGGTGAAACGTTGGGACAAGAGCTTGTGGATTCAATGATTACCCGTATTGTCAGAAGTAAGTGCGTCTAGAAAAGTAAAAACACAAAATAAGTCAAAGAACAATTGCAGGTTTTATAAGATTTTTGGGGGCTTTGTTGGCTTTGTGTTTTGCTTCTTTCCCCATACAAGTCTCTGTGAGGGCA